ACGATATCAACCATTCAATAAATTTCCTTAAACAGTTTCAAGTCCTCGTTTTAAAGTCTAGTATCAAGTCCTTTTTATTTAAATAGGTAATAACAAATGTCTATACATATTGACAGAGGGCGAATGTAAGATCATGTGTGTTGACGATAGGATCCCGATCTCGTTTTTCAGCCACCATGGGCGCGGGCTAGCGGATGGTGAATAGTTGGTAGGTTGCCGTCAGACCGTACCGGGGATATTTAAAAAAAGTCAGTACAGTGCAAAATCATTTTTATTAATAAAAATCACAAGTTTATATCACACGTGTGAAAATAAAACAGTTTTATGCAATTTTTGCCTTTTAGTGCGAATCTCACCCAAAAGCCTTTGAGTATAAGTTTTCAGATAAGAATGAATTCTTATTTTAAAAAACTATTCGAAATATATTTTATTATTTCAGTTTCGAAACATATTTTATTATTTTTAAGTGTGGGAGAGCCATGCTTCGGCACGAATGGGTCGGCTCGACCGGAGTGATACCACGGCCTCGCAGAAAACCAGCGTGAAACAACCACACCGTTGTGTTTCGCCGTGTGAGTGAGGTTACCGGAGGCCCAATCCTTCCCCTCGCTCAATCCCTCCTCAATCCCTAAATCTTCAAATCCCAAATCCCTAAAAGGTCGGCAACGCACTCGTAACTCCTCCGGTGCGGTTGTCCATGGGCTGCGCTGATTGCTTACCATCAGGTAATCCGTCTGCTCGTTTGCCGACCGATTACATAAAAAAAATAAAAAGTTTCGTGTAAATCCATACAAGTATCAGTGATTGGATGTTTAGGCACAAATAATTCCTGCAACAATGGATAACATTTTTCCAGGACCGCTAACACTAATTTTGATTGCAAATTATTAGTTTTGCTGTGAAGCAGTATACCTTTGGATACCGAGTGCTTAAACAAACTATCTGAGTAGCGGACTACCTTGAACGCTGCACAAAGGTCGTAAACGCAGAATGTCTATTAATATTAACAAATAATCATGATCATTTTTTTTTTCATTTTCGGTAGTTAATAATTGATGACAAAAGTCACGAATTTTTTTTTGTAAAATTTTATGAACTATGTATGAGTTCATAAAATTTTACAAAAAAAACGAACAATGTTTACTAACGACTTCAAATCTTTTATTTTTTGTTCATTTCGCGCAACTTTTTGTTGTAATTTTTTTTCTTTTTTTCCAAACACTTTTCCCGCAGTGAATTTAATTTTACATTGAACATTAAAATCTTTTAAGCGGCGTCGTTTCGCTGGCGGTTCATTTTCATTAACTACCTGTGGAACAAAGATTATAATCAGTAACAACTAAGATGATCAAAAGGTCTCAATGTCTATCATGAGCTTACTACATCGTGAAAAAACCAAAAAACACCTAACCTGGATGTTGAAGGTTTGGTTTGACTTCTATGCCATAAGTACAAGCTAATACTACACAATAAATTAAATACTTACAATATTTTCAGTGTGTGTGTTGTGCGTTGGTATTGTTTCATTTGATGAAGCCGAGCACTTGAATGGCGTTGTACTTTCCTGTAATTTGAAATATTATTGTTAACATGATTGCTAGGTATGTAAGCAGCAAATTTTGAAAAGGATAAAAAGATACCTTAATACTAGACAATAAGTTAAATACTTACAATATTTTCATTTTGTATGATGTGTATGTCCTTTTCGCAATAGCTGTGTTCTTTTCCTGACATTGTGGAACAAGTATCAGTTTCTGTCGGTATCATTGCATTAGGTGAAACCAAGCATTTGAATGGCGTTTTACATGCCTGTAATTTGAAATATTATTCTCAACATGGTTGTTGGATGGGTAAGCAGCACATTGTGAAATGTAAAAAATGCTTACCATAACGTTATTACCACAGGAGCATAATTGTACAGAATCAACCAAAACAGCACTATTTAAAAGCCTTTTTGGTCTTAATGGATCATAATTCTCCGGCTTAAAGTGTAAGCTACAAATCTTTGCTGATTCATAAAACTTCCCTTTTAATAGCAGACAACCATTTCTGCCTTTTTTCCGAGTCCTTGGGAAAACTGAAACATAAAATTAATTGTATATTAACCGAGTTGACTGATTTAATTTACTGTAATTAGACCAAAATAGCAGGACAGCTCTAAACTTAGTTTTGACACTCTTTTAATTATTAAAATTTGAAGACCTTTCTGTTTTACCCTCAGATATAATACGTTAGTCTCATTATAAGAGCAACGAGGCCTACATAAAATTCAACCATTCCACAAATCAAAAAGTATCTACCTAACTTAAAAAATATGGTCACTCTTTAGCTCTTTGTTTACAAACACATAATTTTGACGTCTAAGACTAAACGTACCTGTTTTTTAATAATTAAATGCGATTTACGCATATAAATTTCTAAACGATGACAAAGATTACTAGAAAAATATTTGTGACACCGTTTCGAACGTAAATATTTACAGATTTTTTAAATATTGGCATAAAATACGTAACGACAATGTATAACTTAAAATATGGTATTTCTGGACTTACCTGTGAAAGATGACATTTGATGTTGGGTTCCATACACTTGTACAATCTTTGACTACGCAATACATAATAAGGCACTTTAAATTAATTCACAAATCCTCGAAATACTTCAGTCAAACACTTCGAGTAGTCGAAAAGTAATTGACAGAGTAGCCATTTTGGATAATACTACCCCAACAGTGTTACAAGTTTTGAACTCCACGTTAAAAGTTTAAAAGTGGGTAAACTTAAAAATAATTTTAATAAAAAAACAACTTTAAAATAGCCTGAATTAACTATGAATAACTTTGAAATTGTTTAAATTTTTAAGGCTGATATTTGGATTTCGAAATAAACATAAAATATGTGTGCCTCTCTTTTGGTAATATATTTATGATCAGTTACCAAGGTAAAAAGTCATTTTATTATGGCAACATTTTATTCAAGTGTGAGCGAGATAAAAAACATACGAAAGGTGAATAAACTCGGATTCAATAATTTCTTCTAGGGGCAACATCCAGTGTTCTATATAATATTCTTGGTTATAACCATTGAGATAGAAAATATATAGAGGCGCCGTGTTACTATAGAAGTATACATGCTTATACAAATATGAGGGAAATATGAAACAAACTATGAAATATCATTTTTTCTCACTCTTTCTAAGGCAATAATTGTATTAGACAAAAGGGACAACAATATTTAAGTTGTTGCTTAATATGGAAACAAATCATTTTGACATTAGCAAAGTTGTAGGTAAGTGCCATGTCCGCCATCTTAAGCGCTCAGAGTACCTGAGTTTCATGGTAGTTGTGCTGTCAAACGGTTGTTTATGTTTTAAATTATTGCGGTTTTTCAGTAAATTACAAAGAACCATTTTTTTAAACTTCAAATATATATAGTGAAACAAAAAAACAATATGCCTGTGTGTTGTATTGTGCAGTGTGGTGCAAAAAAGAACGAAAATCAACCTCAATTGTCTTTGTATAGGTTAGTAGACAGTTTTCATCAAATATTACTTAGAATAATCCACATAGATAGAAAAAAATGTCACGGATACTTTAATCTATTGCCAAAGTATATATATTTACTTTTATTTCTGTCTGTGAGACAGTTTTAGTAAAAAAATGTTGTTTACAATAATATGTCAATATGGCATAGTTACGTACCATTTCACAAAAGTATCGATATAATCTCCCATTTAAAATTCAACATAAATTATACTAAATAATCTATTTTAACAATAGAATAGATGTTTCCACAGTTTTATGTAACGCTAAAGTAAGACGTCCGTATTTTGGTATTGGTTTTAGCTACATAAGTAGAAGTTCAAATTATCATGTATTATAATAATACGGGCGCGATTGACAGAGCGGCGTTGGCGACGATCCCAGTGCGACCACCAAGCGTAATAATAAAAAGTGAGATACATAGAATAAGATTGACTTCACTACATATCTATTTTGTGCTAACGTAGTTTCGAAGATATCATCGCTTAATCAGACGCGCCGAAAATGTGCGCGAGCACTTCACAAATACCCACAGGTTTTCCACATATATAAAGATAAACATTTAACAAACACTATCTTTTTCTATTTCACCATTCCATTAAACGCTGTTCATAAACACAGTCCTATTTTTTTAAAAGACGCTTTACGTAGAATTATATTAATACAAATTCGACTTGAGAAAATCATTAGCCAATCAAGAGACCAAGTTAACCCCGGGTTCCGGGCTCTAGCTAGGCCGACGGCAAAGTAGGAACAGGAGTTAATTTTAGTCAGTAACGGTCTGTCCCGAAAAAGGCCGGAGATGACATTAGATGATTTCCCATAAAAAATACCGTTAATCAGCTGGCTAATCCCTAAAACTATACCTACGTAGGACTTTTACTCAAATTGTATCGATACTCGTTAAATACTTAGTCGGCACAACCCTAGCAACGGCAGCCATCTTATGCGACATTTTGGATTGTAGGTAGGCACCTTTTTTTCGTAGGTATTTCAAGTCCATATATTTCCTATGTCAATGGTTATAACCCACCAAACGAAAGTCAGATGCAGATGGATGTTATTTCCTGTCAATATAATACGGCGACTGACTATTGAGTAACCTAATATTAGAAAAAAAATCCTCTTTCTTTTTCCCTGTTGTATAACGTGGTGCCTGTGGATGACAATAATATTCTGCATCAACTTTCGTTTCAAAATTCAAAAGTAAGAAGAAATGAAATATTGGTACCTACTTTGAAAATAGATAATATTTCAGACTAAATTAACTAAAAAGCTTAATAGGTCACCGTTAACGAAACCGGCAAGGAGGGCTATACAAAGTACCTCTAAGGATCAACTATTACACCAAACAATATAGGGGAAGCTATAAACTAAAAAACTGCGATGTTCGAAAATTACATATAAAAAACATAACGGTTAAGTACCTATCAGATTTTCTTGTCTCAATGTCAAGTTGTCACTTGTAAGCTATTGTCAACAAGTCAACAGTCAACTTATCGTGATTAATCGTGAAATCAAGAATGAAGAAAGTTTAGTTTCGAATTTTGTTTATCAAATTTTCTTTATAATGATAAGAGAGACACAAATTGCGATGTATTAGAAATCAGTTTTCTGGAAAAACCGTAGATGTAACTGTTTTTAGTCTAACAAGTGCTCTGAATAGTGTGATCTGTGAATAGAGAAAATTATTTTAATTAGGTATAAGTAAACGTCTGAGGAAATAAATGGATACTTAAATAAATAAATAAGCAAACATCTACGTAACTTGAAAAATACTTTCTTTGTTTTAGAAAAATACTATCGACCACAATTAAAATAAATTAAGTTGTAATAGATAATTTCAGGATTTTCAGAGTTAGTTCATTATAACCTTACCTGTGTTAGTATGGACTGTCAATCATTCTTATAATTCCTTACTTTATTTCTTATTAAAAATTTATTTATTTACTTATCAGAAAACAAAATTAAATGTTCACACACTTTCTTCTATATAATATCATCTTACACATTTTCATAAACAGACCTATAGTTTCCTTAATGTAACAGTGTACTTACATTTATATAATGAACAACAACAAAATTTATTGTCTTGTATTTTCCAGAATGGAAGAACTTGAAGTTTGGGATGATCTATCTAACATTCCTGCTGATCCTCCAACCATGCGCAAACTTTGTGCAGATTGCAGGTACCTAATATAATTTTGTTGTACTGTATAGTGCATTTATTTTCTACCACATTGTCAATAAAAATAATAAAAAATGTTAATATTCACTTTTTAAGTTGATATTGAAACTTCCTTTTATTTCAGGAGACCAGCAGTTGTTTGTTGGTGTTCAGCATTACCACCTGAAAAATTGAATCCTCGAAGCACTGTAATACTATTACAGCATCCTGCTGAAGAAAAAAGATGTTTAAGAACGGCTCCTATGTTGCAACTAGGTTTAGCACCCAATAAGTGCATTATATTTAAAGGAAAAAAGTTCCCACAACCCAGGCATAAAGATTTGGAAATTTTACTTACACAACCAAATACACTTTTGCTATATCCTAGTAAAAGTGCAATAGACATAAGAGATATGGAGAATGATACTGATAGTTACAATTTAGTACTAATAGATGGCACATGGCCTCAAGCTAAGGCAATATATGCTTCCAGCCCAATATTGCATAACATTAGACAAGTTAAATTGTTGACCAGCAACACTAGCAGTTATATCATAAGGACACAACCAACAGAAGGATGTCTGAGTACACTTGAGACTGCCGCAGAAGCTTTGTCACAATTGGAAAGGGACCCAAAATATACTGAACTTTTAATACAACCCTTACACACTCTGTGTAAGTATCAATTAGAAAATGGAGCAGTAACTCATCAATCTAAGGAGTTCCTTATTAAAACTAGAACATATCCCAAATTGATTGGGAAAAGATTATCAAAGTTACTTAGGTCTACACAAGAAGAATTATCCAATCAAACATGATATTTTGTAGTTGATAATAAATAATATGTTACCAAGAAAATCCCTGGTTTTTCTTAGTATTTTTTTGTTCTATGATATAATGATATTATTGTGATGAATACTTTTTGGAAGACTTGTTTCTTGCAAGCAAAACTGCTAAGGTCGAGATCATACACAATTAGATTACACACAAAATGTATGGTGTAGGAATAGGCTGCAAAAATATTAATGAAATTCAAAAGAGTAGAAACTACTTTGGTCAGTGTTTAGGGTTCTGTATCCAAATGCAATTCATTCTCCATTAGTGCGTTGTTACTATTTTGGTCAGTAAGTTTTCCTCACATGTACATTAATAACAGAAATTATATTTTACATCAATAGGCTCAGTTTATTGTGTTGTTGTAAAAAGCCAAGATGCCAAATATCTGGCAATAAAATGGTGTGGCCTGTTTTGACATTTAATTTAGAGTTTAAATATTTTGCGCTGGCAACACAGTAATTCTGTTGTCATTTTGACGCGATTTCATTTTTCTTTCCTTTTCTTTCGGTTCTGTCAAACAAATCGGAAACATGGCTGAGGTTTGTAAATTATTTTAGCAATATTATCCACATTTATAATATGAATCATTGAAGAAAACTCGCTTATAGTGACGGTGTTAACTATTGGTGTTATTAAAGAATAGTGTCCAAGTGTTATTTTCTTGAAGTGAGATACAATGTTTACGTTTTACAGGTCGATGAAACTCTCAAGAAAAAGCGTACCTTCAGGAAGTTTACCTTCCGAGGTGTCGATCTTGACCAACTCCTTGATATGCCCAAGTAAGTATTCACCCTTAGCATTTTAACTTAATGTAATCTCCAAAACATGGTGAATTTAAAGACCTTACCACTTGATCTGTCAAATCGAAATGTTAATTATGTACATTGAATGACGTATTTTAGTTTGCCGTAACGTAATAAGGTTTAATATTAAAGATAGTCAGTAAGTTTGTGTTGTGGTATTTAATATGTCTTTGTTTTATCCGATCGCTAACATAACCTCAAAATGTAATTTTCAGTGAGCAACTCATGGAGCTCATGCACGCCCGCGCTCGTAGGCGATTTGCCCGTGGTCTGAAGCGCAAGCCAATGGCCCTGGTGAAGAAACTGCGCCGCGCAAAGAAGGAGGCTCCACCAAATGAGAAGCCCGAAATTGTGAAGACACACTTGAGAAACATGATCATTGTCCCCGAGATGGTTGGATCCATCGTTGGTATCTACAACGGCAAGACATTTAACCAGGTAAGCTTAATGTTTTTGTTTCAATTTACATGTTTTTATTTTGTGGTTAGGAGCAGGTACCAATTTGTGGCCAGGTACATCAACCAATGCTACCCAAACATAAGCTTAACTGTAATGTATCAACCTAATTGTAAACTTCCATATCAATATGTCATAACAAAACAGTAAAGTATTTCAATGAAAGAATATCCCATGCGAAATACAGTATGTATGGACACTGAATTAGCATTTTCCGAATGCTACACTTGTTACTAGAAAAATTAATGGCCATTAACTAGACCATGTAGAGAAAAGTTGTAATTTAAATATGCCATTTTAAATAAGGCACTACTAAGCAACTCATATGAAGGCACAACCTTAGCCTTTGGCAAATGTTTAATTTGAGTAAAATTTGGAATAAAAATGATGAAGGTTGTTGTTGTTAGATTTTTCTATGGACCCTGTGCTTGGTTAGTTCTTCTCTAACAATTATCAGGTGCTAATAATAATATTTAGATATGTCATAGTGTTAACTGCTGATCATACACTAACCCCATTTCAAAAAACAATTAAGTCCAAGAATATGTAGAAGTATTTAATATATTAATGTTAAAATGTATTTTTTTTGTTTCCAGGTTGAAATCAAACCTGAGATGATTGGTCACTACCTCGGCGAGTTCTCAGTCACATACAAGCCTGTAAAGCACGGTAGGCCCGGTATTGGTGCCACCCACAGCTCCAGGTTCATCCCACTCAAGTAGTGTGCTGACCATCACCTAGGCTTAAGTCTAAAACAAAAATGTACACAGGTGTACAATAAATGTATCTTGTGTAGCAATTACTGTTTTTTATTACAATTTGCCATTGAGTCATATCTCTTACTTTGTACTCTCCATACTCCATGAGGTTTTGTTGGAAATTTGGTTTTTTGAGAAGTTTTGATATTTACCTGTGGTATAACCAATGTACTAACAATTCTACCCTATGCTTTACACTTTTCATAGTACTAATAACTTGTAACATTTACTACTAGTCTACAGGTAGATAATAATTAAACCTATACTGGTGTACCGCATCTGAGGCATATTACTAATAATTATAATTATTAAAGTTGTCCCACACTAGAATGTTATATGTCGTGGGTGTGTCTACAAACATACAATTTCACATACACATCACGCCCAGTCGCGCCTCGCCAACAATTTGTGAATCACACAAAGAGTTGTTCTGTGCGGGATGCAAATGGCGACACTGCGCGACAGCCAGTTGTCCAGCCACCGCGCCAACCGTGCTGTTAAATTATTATGCTGCACCTGGAGAAAACTCCGCCCATGGACAGGTGTCCATGTTGCAACACCAGAAAAGTTGGAACTGTTGCAAGTGCGTTGCTGGCATTTTGGGGATAAAGGGTTTTGCGAATTTAGGGAGGGGAAAGGATTGGTCCTCCTGTTCCGACCCTACTACGGCGAAACACAATGTGGTTGTTTCACGCCGATTTTCTGTGTGGCCGTAGTATCACTCCGATCGAGCCGGCCTAGTAATTGTAGAGATTGCCCGGTTGAGATATCCAGTCTAAATAAATGTTATATAAAATTACACACCTGAAATACGTTACAAGTGATCTGTGCCGCTCATCGTTATCAGCAAGAATGCACCCCTTTCGTTCCTAAGACCCCCACTTGACCTCTACACAGAATTACTCGCCAGTCTTTCAACGGCGGGTCTGATGATGTCTTTGGTCCACACCTAGTGTATGTGGAAACGTCTTAAATAAAATACCCTTTTTGCCTATCGGGCGTCAGTAAGCCTTTACGCGTAATGTTTTCTTCACACACTTCTCGAAGTAACGAACTTTATACAGTAACAAGTTTTTCATTTCGACGGTAGTTACAGCCGGTTATAAAATGCTAAGTATAGAAGGAAATAATCGCATTTGCAGTAACAATACGTAGTAAGTCGGTACCTTTTTTATGGAGGGAATTTCATCAAATGACATCTCACCCAACCCTAGGTATGGTGACAGGGATTGTCAGCCTCTGACTGACTTCGGGCACGCTACTATAGCAGCGGTAAGATCTCTCTTTGAGGAGTGGCTTGAGAGACGCCACGGCGTCCTCACCTTCCGCCTGACGCAGGTGCTTACCGGGCACAGCAGCTTCGGTAGGTTCCTGTTACGGATCCAGCGGGAGGAAACGCTCGAGTGTCGTCATTGTGAGGACCATTGTGTGGAGCATACGGTGGCCGTATGCCCTGCCTGGGCTGAGCACCGCCGTGTCCTCAGGGAAGTGATCGACGGCGGCGACCTCTCGCGCCCGGCCTTAGTCGAGGCCATGGTGCAAAGCGAGAGGAACTGGGATGCCGTCTCTTACTTCTGTGAAGCAGTTATGTTCGCAATGAGGGTACGGCCCACGTGAGGGAGCAATCCTCCTCCTCACGCCCCAGCCGCCGCAACAGGCGCCACTACGGGCGTCAGGGATCAAGGGACGATCTCCGGCCTCCGTAAGCGCGGGTCTGCGGTCGGCGAGTAAGGGCAGCTCGCCGCCCGACCAGAACCAGGCCCGAGAGTACGGCGTTCCGCGCGCGCCTCAAAGAGCCAATAGACCACAGACGGGGCCCTATAGGGCTGATGTTCAGCCGGGGTTGCGGGGTAAGCACAATGAGGCACCGCGACCTCGGCCCAGAGCAGGAGAAGGAACAGGGTGGTTTTTAGTCAGTAAGAGTCTGACACTCCCTCCCGCTCAGCCCTAGGCGGGAGAAGTCATTTGATGATTTTCCCCTTACAAAAAAAAGCCTCTGACTGACTAAACCCCCCGTCCTTTCTCCTGCTCCAGGCCGAGGCCGTTTTACTTTATTGACCCGCAACTCCGGTTAAGATTTGGTTATGTTGGACTTCACCTGTAGTGGTTTATTCGGTCTTTGAGAAAACGCTACGCGCCATACGCTCCTGTCTGGTTCTCGGGCAGCGAGCAACCTTGTTAGCCGACCTAAGACCCGCGCTTGGACCCGGTGGCCGGACATCGTCGCTCGATCCCCGATGCCCGGAGTGATTGAGGCGTTTTTTTGTGTGAGCAAAATCATTAAATGACTTCTTCCGTCCAGGGTAGCTGGGCTGGACAAAAAATTGCGGTAGCGCGACAACCACACGTGGTGTCGCAGCTAGTCACTTTATGAATCATTAGATCATGAGTTTTCAGAAATTGTGTGTTTATGTGTGGGAGAGCCATGCTTCGGCACGAATGGGTCGCCTCGACCGGAGTGATCCACGGCCTCACAGAATACCGGCGTGAAACAGCGTTGTGTTTCGTCGTGTGAGTGAGGTTACCGGAGGCCCAATCCTTCCCCTCCCCCAATCCTTCCTCAATCCCTGAGTTTCCAAATCCCTAATCCTTAAAAGGTCGGCAACGCACTCATAACTCCTCCGTTGCGGGTGTTCATGGGCGACGCTGATTGCTTACCATCAGGTAATCCGTCTGCTCGTTTGCCGAACTATTACATAAAAAAAAATACATGTTACATTTGCTGGTGTTTATCCTGCCTTTAATGTTTTCTATGAGGAAAGTTGCTTATTCACTTGTAAGATTTGCGTCATATTATCAGAACTCGTATTTTAGGTGCCTAAAATATGCGTCCATTTAAATTTCAACTACAAAGACTAGCTGACGTACTAGTGACATCACGTAGTAGGTAATCGTAAAGCATAAGGATTCAAGGATGTACCTACTAACATACCTACCTACTAGTGGGTGGGTTTTTAATACGTGCCCTTTCCGTGAAGTCCGTGACGTACCTAACAGTAT